GGAAGTATCACAAGTAGGGACGGCAGATTTGCAAGAAGTTTTAATATCGAAACACATTTCAGAGTGCGAACTGTGTCATAAGAGATTCTTCACGCTGAAAGGGTGAAAATATGTAAAAGCTAAATGTAATTAAGTTATAATTTTTTTGTTGAATTTTTTTCACATAGCTTTTCATTATCGTATCACATTATAAAGATTGTTTAAAAATTCTGCAATCTCCATACGATAAAAATCCTCTGGAATGAATGGTAAGCAAGTTGTTGCAGATGCCATTTACGATTCCTAATGATTCAAATTTTCTATTAATAAAATTCTACTACTAACAGATTGTTGTAGAATCTATTGGTTGAAACATGCGTCGTAAAAAATGCTTTCTCAGCTAATACATTAGATTTCTCAAAACTACTTGATTTTGAAAGGGTAATTTGGATCTAAATTTTAATTCAAATTGTCACAAATTCAAGGTTTACTTAATCTTCAAGATTATTTCACGTGCCACTCTCAAATGCTAATCATTTTTCGTAGTGTCACTAGCGATGGCCGTCAAGGCCGTCTTTAAACATTCGAGCGGTTTTATCATTTTCAAAAATTTTGACGTAGTGCTAACTTTCCACTATTTTCCTTCTGGGGTCGTTGAATTACATTTCGTGACGGAAAAGTAGTGGGTGTTGATAAGATGCGATCTCTAGTTAGGTTCAAAAGTCGCCGTAGCAATAGTAATTTTAATTGCTGTGCATACTTCGGAGATTTTAGGGTAAGGCTATCCAAAAATCATATATTGTCTTTGCTAGCATATTTCATATGATCTCATTTCATTGGTTGCTTAATGTGATATCCGGGAATCTTCTGATATCGATAAAACTTAAATGTTATACATGATGAGCATGTTTGATAATTTGATCACATGATTCCGATATAGCGCGTAATGTGACACAGGCTAGCGGTTACTCGCCATTAGTTCGAAATTTTTTGATAAAAAACCTGAGAAGGTGTTTTATTTATGGTAGTACGTTTGACAGCATTTACACGTGGTTGCAGTTTAGACGTGAATGTGCATGCAAAGAGTTTGATGATTTTACACTTATTTAAATCTACTTTGTTCACATTCAATCAAAATGACAAGATTGCAGGAATAACTTTGTCAATATAGTATCAATATCTTGGAAGCTTCACTGGAACTATATTCTGGGAATAGAAACATAAAAAGAAAGAATTTATAAGGATTAGAGAAGGAATCGAGTTGAAGATGATTCAAAAGATTGTTTGGGTTAGAGAATGCAAATTACACATGTCAAAATTGTGAAATTTTGAATTAGGTATAGGTTAAATTCAAGTTGAATTTATGAATAATTAGGATAGGTTAAATCAAAGTTGAATTTATGATTAAATGTATATGTCCAGCTAGTTTTCAGTACAATTTTTTAAGACGTATGTGTTGTTTTAGAAAACTTAGTTACTCTGTTAGTTACGCAATGCATATTTTCAGTTGATCATGAAATGGAATTATAATTGAAATATAGAAATTCATGACATATCATGAACATAAGCCATACGAAAGTGAATATCAGTGGGAGTAACATATGTGAAAGTTATGATAACATTTGAAATATTCGGACTATTAAAAGGATTGTAAGAAATGAATATGAACAATTGAGTAGATCGCTATGATCGATAAAGTACTTTTATTCCTAAGCTCCTTATAGTTTTGTAAAGTTATAAGTGGCGGAGAAAGCTATTAAGTGAAATTGCAAGAAATTGCGAACTCAATTTTAATTCCAGAGATGATTTTGCTTCATCTTATAGAAATAATTCATAATAGTTAGAGATTGAAAAAAAGGCTGAGCGGTTTAATAAGCATCAGTGATATAATTTGAAGCAGTGTAAAAAGTATGGAAATGATAGATTAAATTCGAATGACTTTTTAAATATTTGATTTTCAGTATATAAGAAGATTAGTCAAGAAATGAACGAAATCATTATGGATTCAGAAGTCGAGTGCTTGGTAGTTATTCTTTCAAATGGATGTTTTCAACTTATGTATGTTATAATTACATAGCGTCTTTTGTGAACTGCATCACGGAACATCTTTCTCACTCTTCGGTGGAGATCATTGTGCGTATATCAAGGAATTGCAGTAAATGGGATCATTGCGGTCGTCCAAACTGAATAGGATGTCAAAGTAAAAGAAGTTATCGATTAAGAGAGCTTCGTATGAAGCCGTATGAAAGGGATAGAAGGAGATCACCTACAGCACAAGTTAATCCTATATTGAATGTATAATATTGCTACCGGAAATTTGACTGAGCGACTAACCGAGTTTTAATATCTTTTCTTTGAACAACATTCTGAATTAACTTGTGCTATAGGTCTATCATATCAGATATTGTTAATCTGGTGTCGACATTACCTGCCTAATTAATGTTTTCAGTGTTGATCAGGATCATAAACAAACAGTGCTGTTTTTACGTGTAATTTAATTTTGTAGTGAATGTTAAGCGGAATCTTAAGGATTCAGAGATTAAGTGTTGGCATTTGTAAAAAAAGTCTTCAACAAAGAAGTCTGAGAATGTGACATGTGGAGCGAGAGCAACAACATCGGTAGTGTCATTGAAATTCGTTTCATTTGTGACATCCGCAGTATTAATAAGAAAGAAAGCAAATTAGAAGTTCATCGAAACTATCAATGAGTTCCATGTCAAGAATGGTAAAAAGCAAATTTTTATGTTAGAAACAAAACTAAAAAAATATATTGATGAAAAACGATGTGTTATATTAGTAAGAAATCCTGTACTGCTCTGGATTTTTCCTGAATTTATTTCATATTGAAGGCGAAGCGTATTTTATATGGTATTTTATATAAAGTTTATTCCCTCTACAAGTTATCACAATTCAGGGTTATCAATACCTGTTAGTTAAGAAAAGATGCTTTTTTCACTCAAATTTTGGAAAAGGTTCATTCCGATGTTAAATTAGAAGGTTGCTTTCTGACAATTAAATTTGAAAAATCGGCGGAAGAAGGAATTTAAAATACGGCAATGCAATGTAACCAATTTTTTACTACTCAGTGCAGGTGTTTTATTCTGTGGTATTCGGATTTTATGCTGCAGATATCCTGTCTTCTTCGCAATATTAAAATAAAGGTAAAACTTGTTGCGTAGTCCGCTGAATTTGTAGTATTGCCAAGTGATGCTAGGAATAACCTTATCTATTTTATTATAAATTTCTCGTTATTCCAGGTTCAGTGTTCATTTTGACATTTTCTATCTAACTTCCATTGTTTTCTGTTATTTGAATTGATTTAGACATATACATTAGTCGGAATTTTTTTGTTGGAGACTATGATTTATTTCGATCCAAAAGTTTCAATGATTGCATTAACTGGGATATCTTCAACTCCAGACCATAAAAATCAGGAAATTTTGCTATTTTCATTGAAAATTTGTGCGAAAAGTTCACTGAGGTGGGAAATTTGCGCCTAATTCAAGAATTAGAATTTTGGAGGAAATGTATAAGTTTATTAGTGACAAGGAGCTAAATTTCGATTTCAATAATTTCCTGTTTATGCAATAGTTCACCTTAGCAATGCAAAATAAATAAATAATGAAGTTTTGAATAATTAGAAACATATTTGAAAAGCAATTTTTGAGGAAATAGCCAGAAATTAGCTGTTCTGTGATGTTATCTTATTCAATTAATATTATTTTTTGGTGGAAAATCAACAATAATCTCGCCAATCTTTCGTTAATGAATCTAGTCAGTTCTGGTGAAATTTCATTTGATTAAATCAGCTTGTATATATTACAAAGCGATTGTTCTTGTGCTTCTGGTTTGAATGCCATTTGTTACAAAAAATTTCTTTTATTTCAATCCATTCGGTTATAGTAGAATCTCATTCGACTGGAAGAAGAATGGCCGATTACGGTTTATCAGAAAAATTGTGATGAAATGAGGTTATCATTATGCTATTAATCTCTATTTTCAAACTCTCTTATAGTTGTAATTTAGATTACTTTTATTAGAGTTTCAAATAAAAATTCTCCGAGATGTTAACTAGTTCTCCAAGAATTTATTCGAATGATACAGCTGAGGTTGCGATTATTCACTATCTCGGATTAACAACGCGTGGATAATCAACAATGCCGTTTTTTTTCTTAATTGTATATTTCAAAGAGGATTTGTGATGAAGTTAATTCTGTGTGAAAAAATATTTCATATTTAATGCTAGTGGGCAAGCATATGTGTTTGTACGAGAGTATTTTTAAAGCTTATCTTCAGATAGGTAAATTAGCACCTATTTTATAATATTCTTTTCTAAAAACTAGTCTTCAGTTTATTGAATGTTTGTTCACTGTATATCTGTTTATTGTAATTATGAATAGAAAGCAATCCAAAACGCTGTTAAAACTTTCGAGGTGTGCATTGGTTACGGTACTTCTGTGCATCTACTTGTTTGAGCTGGCTCTAATTTTGCAGTTGCATAATCCTAAAATATATGAAAGAACAGCTTTTTGAAAAAAAAAAATGACAAACTGGGGTGAAACTTTACTCGTCGAACGGTTGACTAGTTTTTAGAAAAGTTGTTTGCTGTACTTGATTCTTTAAATTTTGGCTTGAAAATTATTCGTCTATGTTGGTGTTTTTTTAGTAATATGCTACTTCTGTGTCTTGTATTTGACATATTAATGTGATAGCAGCTAAATATTATTGGAAAGGGACAATTCTTCATAATTGGATCATTTGTGCGGATTTGTGTTTAAAAACTTCCAGAAATGTTTTTGAATAGCTTAATTGAGTTCAAGAGCAACAGATATTAACGGCAATAAAATATACGGGTTGATAAGTTTAGAAGTTTCTATCTAAACCAAGTGTCCTTGAATAATTTTTATTTTTTTTTAATACATGAAGTTAAAAAAACATTTTTATATAATTTCTTGAGATCGACTTCGTATTATATGGTTCCGTTGAATTTTTAAGCGATATCACTTGCGTTGCGTTTTGTTATGTTACATTCGCTTAGCGTTTTAGAATTATTTCTCTATCCGCTGTTGATTCAGGTGAAAATGTTAAGACGCGGTCCGAACAACGCTGAAAATGAAAATATCCCTATAAAGGTATCCGGAAGATCAACATCTGCAAATGGTGGGATGGGAATACCACAGAAGAAACTGAGCGAAAACTCACTGAAGGTTATTATGAAATTTTTGATGAATAGCAGAGTTTAGGCCACTGCATGGTAATGACTTCATGCGAACAACCAAAAAGAAGCAATCCAAAAGTTTATTTTGATCGTTTAGTATATAACTGTATTTTCTGAATTAGTGTAAAATGTTTTGGTTAACACAGGTTGAATGATTACGTATACTATTTAACTTCACATCCTTCCTTTTTTATATCTCTTTAAAGAAGGCACGAATGATTCTGAGAATTATATAAACTGAATTTTGATTCATCGAATGGGACGAAAAGTTTTCAATTACTAAAAAACTTTAATTTCCGGATTTTTGGACGCCTTCAAAAAATATTTTGATTTGATTTCAGAATGTTTTAACTGCATCCACAAATTAATAAATATGTAAGACTGAAATGAAAGTTAATATTATATTTGATATACTTAGTCGAACTCTGACAGTCTCCGAAATTTCCATCTGCGTATGACTTCTATCTGCATAGGACCATACCTTTTTTATTTCCAATGCTGCCATGGACAAATTTTTTGACATATTGCTTTTGGGAAGGAACTAAGTCCCTGTATGTTCACAGAGAAGGTTAAAACAATGTTGTCGTTTCTAAGTGAAGTTATAGCTTAATTTAACTAATGCTGGATTGAGTTATCATGTAGTAGAGTGAAGAAGAGAGAAGTTGGTTCATATCGCTACTCACTGCTAGAGAAAACAGTGAGACGGATTCATTACTTGTTTTTAAAATAAAATAAATAATTTTTGCATTCCGTTTTGGTTAATATGTTTGTCCCTTAGGACAGATAATTGTATCTGTCCTTCACGAAGTCTCAAGCTATTTGTGTTAGGACTGTTAGGAAAAAGAAAAGCATTTGATCTAACCAAAGATTAAATATTAATAAGTTATATAATTGGTTAAAAAATAATGAAAAGACAACTTCAATATCTTTAGCGCTTTAAAAATATCGCGAGCGGGATTTTGGGAAAAAACGTGAATGATGCGAGGGAAAGAATACAAATGCGAAGGACTGCACTGGCAGATATGAAGAACGTCGTAACAAATGAAGGGAAAATCGAGAGTGATGGAGGTGAAAGCAAGTCTTCGTTACTGAATAGTAAATTATGCCGATCATTTTCGGCGTCACCAAAACGCATAGGAACGAAATCATCGGAGAAAAGTCAACCGGAATGTGGTATTACCTTACCATGCGAGGTAAAATACTAATTTAAAATTGAAAATGTGTTTGAAATTAATTAAAATCGTTTGAAATCCTCTTTCTTTTTTTTACGAAGCAATTCTTTTTTCTACCACTTGCACCAAAGAATTTTTCAATATATTGTTCATATATATTGCCATCATTATTGAAGTATGTAAGCTTTAGTTATAAACACCATAAGAATGGCATGTACGTGATAAAAAACCGAATATAGTCTTGCGAAATTAAAGTTACTAATTAAATTAATCTTACGAAATCAAAGTTGCGAAAACTAAAGTTAGTATAGTTTTAACCTTTTTAATATCACATTCAGCTTTTGCGTCTGTGCTATTCTTGCAGTAAAATTACATTAAAGAACAATATGGTGTTTGTCAGACGAAAGAAGAAAAAGAAAGCATATTTACTGTTAGGCGATTTCCTTTTTTTGAGACTAATTTTTTCAACATTTTTGCCTTAGCTTTTTAGCTTCAAGTTTGCCTCCTCACCTGTCGTCAAACTCTCAAGCTTTGGAATTGTACTGTATTTATTTACACTTCTTTACTTTTAGGGCTTGCAAGAGCTCGCACCAGTCACAGCGAATGCAGGCATGAATCTTCGTAGCCGACGTATTTTAAGATCTGATGCGCATCCCTCTGGTCAATATTTGAAATTGCAGCCAACTTCTAACGAAATAGCTCCGGAAGCTCCCCCCATCCAGCCAGAACAGATAATTGAAAAGTTGCTAAAACCGTTGCCATTTCATAACGGAAAGCGTAGTATCTACGACACTTATAATAACGTAGTGGTATACTGCGAACAGTATGCAGCCGATAACTGGGATTATTTGTTTGATATCGAGGATAAAGGAGTTGTGCCATACAATTTCTTGCACGGATCAAGGGTATGTTTGTTTTAAAATACAATGAAGGAGAGCATTATGATTGAATTCGAAAATGTTAGCTGTTATATGTTCTTTAAAATATGATAAAATAAGACATTGTGATGAATTTTGGAATTTGACACAGTCATCATACATTTTAAGTTAATTGCTTTTCATATATATATTCATGGTTTTTGTTCCAAACCTGCGGCATGAAAATTTCGTTCGAAATAGAATTTATTTTTAAAAATATGTTAGATACCGTGTGTATGCTTTCTGCCAATCAGCAAAATTTCCCGAACATAGGGTACAATAGGTATCTGTTGGTGAAACAACTAGCTATAGTTTGATGGAAGCTTATGATCACAACGAGTTTATTTATTTTGGTAACCATTAGTTTAAGTATCAGGAGAAGCTGCAGATTAGGTAGGTTTGATGAATCGTGATACGTTTTGTTTGTCATTTACCGGTGCATTTTTTTAGGAATGCTTTTTTTTCATTTTTTGAGTTATTGTTAAATTGTTAGATTACACCGAGAAATCGAATGACTACAATAGATTGGATTACTCGCTTGCAAATTGCTTTCAAATTGCTGCCAGAGACGCAGTTAACAACTGTTAATCTCTTGGACCGTTGTTTAATGGCACGACGCTTTACACTTGAAAAGGTTTCATACAGCTTTGTTCGCTAAAAACGGGAAATGAAATTGAAGATAATACTAAAGAATTCATAAGATAAAGAAACTTGAGGTAAAGCTATAAGATAAAGGAAGTTGAGGCAAAGCTATAAGATAAAGGAACTTAAGACAAAGTAGCATTAGTGTAGTAGTTAAGAAAATAAGATTATCCTATGAAATTTGGCAAGGATTATTTTGAAGTTTTTCAGTTTGTTTTAATAGATCATCTTTAGTTATTTGACTTACTTAAGAAATAATGAGCTTCGTGCTCATTCATTATTCATTTGTATTGTTGTTATTGTCCTTCTTGCTTGATTTTTTTAAAGTTTTGATGTTTTCAGAAAGAAATGCAACTGATTTCTTTGGGTTGTGCTGTTGTGGCAGCCAAGTATGAAGAAATTTATCCCCCAGAAATATCTGAATATCTCAACTCGTGTGGCAATACGAAACAAGAGATCATGCGGGCAGAAATTAATGTAAGTTGTTTTTATGTCATTGATTTTTCTAAGCAGTAATCAATCCACTTACAAGAAATTATCATTCGAATTTGCTATGTTGCTCAGTAGTTTATCATTCGTCTTAATTTTGTACTCTCATTATTTGTTTGAGCTTATATTTTTATGACTTCATATTCTGCCTAAATATGGATTATCTTCTGGTTTGCTAAATTTTGCTGGTTATTATTTCATATATTTACATATATTTGTCATAATATTTTTTACTGATGTGCTTGATAAAATTGCTCTACAATTCAGCTTTGTACCTTCTTGTTAATACTTACAATTTTCTAAAGTTTATATCTCTTAAGAATATAGGGACAGAACTTATCATGAGCTATTTTATTCCTTAAACAGCAACATAAGTTGTTGAAATATTAATTTATCTCGCGATAGTGGGAATTTTACCATATTTTAAATCTTCTAGATATATGGACGTCTTTTTATTTTTATTGCAAATCATTCTCATTTCCGTTTGTGGTTTCCATTTCAGGTATTACATCTTTTAAACTTCGATTTGAGATATCCTCGTGCCATTCAATTCATTCGTCGTCTCACAGAACATTACGATCTTAGCGTTCATACGCTGGCTAAAGCTATTAGCGAAATAGCATCGTTTGATTATAACACATGCTGTATGAAACCGTCGGTTATTGCGGCTATTGCTGTATTCATTGCAGCGGCGTTGGAAGGAGTCGAATTCCCTGATAAGTTGCATCGTTTGGCAAGGTATATAAATTGACTGCTAATATAATGTCAAAATAGTTTTTAAGTTATTTCTTGAAAGTGTTAACTGTTCGCGTATCAGTTCTTTGCATATCGCTATGGCCTCATTGATTTTTTTACTTTTTTTATTTTTTACTTTTTTTTACTTTATTTTTCTGTTGTCAAGATGCTGGTTTGGAAATGTTATTTTAAGAATTGCAGAGATTGAGTGTTGAATTAATGAAAAAGGAAAAATATATCGAAAGCATTTCAGAGTATCGAAAGCAGAAGCTGAACGATTAGCACCTATTTTTGCGTCAGCCATATTGGAATTGATTAGAAATGAAAAAAATTATAGTGCCCTCTACAAACGAATGTGCGTCCAAAGACGCATGGTTTTCACGAATAAGCATATTGTCTATTTGGCTTCACTTGTGACTAAAAGTCGTTGATTTCAAATTATCGTTATAATTGCGCGTGTGTGTTTCTTTTTATCATTATGAATTTATTATCGATAAAAAACAACTGCTTTTGTTTTAGCATGTAAATAAATTACTTGTACTTCATCTTACTTCTCTAACATACAAATTAAGTTTTTACTTTAACATTCAAGTAAATTACCAAGTGCGATTACTTATACTTTGATGTACAAGTAAATTGTTTTCACTATGCGTTTATTCTTGAATTATGCGAAGTTTTTGAACTTACTATTTGTTTCTTCGCTTATTCTTTACCTTTTCATTTCAGTTATGTCTGCAGTTATTATCCCAACAAAAAATTAGGAAGGGGGAAACATGTATGTAACGTTGTTATATTTTTGGAAACGAAGGTCTTTGATTTACAATCGTATTTTGTCATTAACGTTTCCTCACAATTATTTGGTTTATATTGATTTCTTGTTTGAAAATTGCAATGTACTATGAAGGCAAAATTCATCCATATACTCTAATTTTGGTATATCATATGTTATGTATGTTTCGTATTTTCTCATTGCCCTTCACTACCATTCCATGTTACCAATTATTTGTTTTCTCATAGTTCCAGCCATTATTCCAACATTTTCACATACGTTCAAAATCGGGACAATTTGTTGTATTTCATATTTGTTTAAAAATGTTTAAGTGCAGTGCATTGGATAGCTTTCAAAATTGCATACGTCATTAACAATTCCTTCTCTCTATTTATTGTCTTTATTTTTTGTACAAAAATTTGAATAACTAATTTTTGATTTGTAGAACATGGCGTTTTGGTTCTTAAACAATGAACTATGACTACTGAAAAATCCTCATGCTTTCTATTTATCCCTTTTTTGGGATTTATCGATTATAAATCGGAATCATCTATTACTTGATGGTTTAAGAACCATCAGACATAAATGAAAAAAGCATTCTCTTCCTTTTTTTGCATTTCTTTCAAGTATTTTACTTGGAATTATTTGTTTTTTTTGATTTTAATGCATGAAAATTTTTATTTTATATGCTCAATGATCATTTAAATTATCAAATGATAAACATTTTTTGTCTTTTCTGTTTATTTATGGTTATGTATGCGCGTTTTTCATAAAGCCGATAATGGCTTTAACTAAAAAAAATTTAAAGAATACATATTGTTTGTTTACATGTATATTATATTATATTATGAACGTAAAATAAATGAATGCAAGATAGATCTTTAGATTAGTAGTGGAAAATTTGATTTCTCCATGTTTGGAGTGTCCACAGTTCAGTGGTGTACCTAACACTTTCACTCGGTTGTGAAACAGGCTTGAAGTTGATGAAGCAAACTTTAAATTTGAATGTAGTTTACCTGGACTGGTTTTTGAGTACGACAGATATTTGCATTTGCTTTTGAATGGTTTAGCTCTTTATGCTTCGATTTTTGCTTTTCGCGCCATGACTATTGCAGTTGACGACGCGAGCACTCTTCACTTTTCATTAATTACTTTCATTAATTACTAGTTAACAATTTTCGATATTCGTCACAGGTATCCCGAAATTTCTTTATTGTGTATTTTTGTTTAACGTAGTAATTATTCTTAGCAAAAGCCATGTCAGATCAAGACTTGGGGGTACGTCGATGGCTTGAGAAGATTTTACGACTTGAATTGGTCGATGGGCGTACAATTGAAGGGAAATTTGTTTGTACTGATAATGCACCAAATGTAATTCTCAGTGGTTGTAAGGTGATTATCTCAGATAATTTTTATTTTTCGTCCTTAATGACTGTTAATAAATTTCAATCATATTGACCAATATCGAATAGTATGAAGTGCTTTCATTGAGTTAGAAGTGTCGACGTTTAGCCGTATCGATTGCTTGTAGTTTTAGGACTGTTTTGGAATATTCGTGGTAAAGCTTGGGGTACTTAGATTTTCATGATTGTAAAGTCCGAACTTCAACCACTTTATTTCCAGGAACAATGGAAAGATGAGCAGGAATCCCGGATGGTTGGCCTTGTTATGGCGAATGGAAAGCATATACGATCAATATACTTAGTACATACGACAGCGGACGACGGATAAATTTTTTTTTATATCAGGTCGTGAAAGACTTATTTCACAATGAGCTGCAAAAAATAAAATGATTTTAGCAAATTTTTTTTTTTAATAAGCTGTAAAAAAATAAAATGATTTTTAGCAACATAACTCATTATTTGTGATAACCTTAAAATACATAAGCGGTCATTTTAAGCTATCTTCCATTCAATGCTGAGTCTGAATTTTAACGATAGGTCATCAAGTTCAATACTGAACGAAACAACTACTGAAATTATGGCATGAAGACAATCTTAATCCTGCTCCAACGAAGCTATGTTTTCTATTTTCGAATTTTCACAAAACACTTGATCATATCACAAAAAAAAAAACGTAACATTGTTAGGGAATTGTTACTTAGCACAATAAGTGAATCACTTTTTGGCACCTTCGAACCGTGATTTTCGTTTAGCTTCAGCTCCTTTAGCGGATGTAGTTCCGCCTATTGTTTTTTTTTCAACAGTAGCATTGTACTTCTCCATAGCTTCTTTTTGGAGTACTGCTGAAGAAGAAATATGGATCTAATTTCACATTATAGAGTCAATTTATTAAGTCCAGAGATTTCCTCTAATGTTCCAGCAGTCTGTTTATGCAGAAAACTATTTCACTTCGTAACTTAGGAAAAATATAGGACTTACAAATCTGATCGTAGAAGCAATCTTTTGTGAAACCATGTGGATCAAAAACCAATGGAGCGAAATTTGAACCCAGTTCATCCACTTCGAACTTCTCAATTAATTTCTCGTACATCGACGGATTTTTAAAATCGCGCCTTTTTTGTATTAGTGCATTCAAATCGGCTCCTTGTGCCTTTTTTTCGAAAAAACCTCGAAACCTTGTCTGCAAAATGAGTTTGATTTCGTTTTTCACTTAAAACTTAACCTAATCCATGAATTCCAAGGATAAATTCTGTACCTCAAGTTCCGTAGAGCATTTTGTTGTCGGTGATGGTGGCAATCGTATTTCCACAGGTTCATCATGAATCTGCGGACTATCATTTCCTTCCGCTGATTTTGGCGTTAAACTTTCAAGGTTTTGATCGATGTGCTGTCTTTCCTACAAAACGCATATAAAAAAGAACGGTTAACCAAATTCTGGGATGCAATGCTCAACGGAATCTTACTGTGTGAAAACTCCCGCACATCTACTTCTCTTCTTTCTGCCAACGGCGATATCTTTAACACGAATAATGGTTAAGCATGCTTACAAGTTCTCGTAAACCTTCTTCGACCGCGCTATCTACAGCAATTTCATCCGGCGAACGACTATCTTCATGGCCAGGTGGTGGTTTTGGTTCTCGATTTGTTGATTCCGAGCTTCCTTTCTCTTCTGTTTGTTTACTTGCAACTGCTTTTCGATCAGCTAAACTTTTTTAAATGTCTTCCTCACTTGCAAACACAATATCACAGTGAAAAGAAAAATATCACAACAAAATTTCAAACCGATGGACAAAGGTTCAAACTTATAGTTTTCTGACCTATAAAGATATGCTTTCATAGAAAAGCTGAAAAAAAATGAGTTCATCGCTTAATCATCATTAGCTGCATTTTCTTTAATAAATGAGGCAATATTAGATCTAATAACTCTCATTGCATATGGATATACAACGTACGTGAGTATCACTAATACCAAGCACGTTTTTTATTAACATTTTTTAACACAGATTTTGTCAATGTACAAACCTTTGGCGAACTGATCCTCCTCATCTTCCTGTTCACCGTATGAAACCAATGAAGTTTGACTTTGTGTGACGTAAAGCGCACTTTTCGAAACAAAGGGTCGATTTCGATTCTGTGATCGTGATATTGTTATATCAAAATCGCTTTGCACTAAATGTTCTGAAGGTGATATTAGTGCTTTTTTAGATGGAGGTGGATGCGATGAACTAACGCTTCCACTCTTCCTACTTCTAGATTCGACACTCGAGTTAGCGTTCGATGATGAACCTCCATTTGCTGATTCATCTAAACAGGGAGCAATTATTAATCGAATTAGGGAGAAAGGTATTAAAACTAGAACAGCAAATCGATAAAGATTATGAAATTCCAAAATTATTCTTAAATTAATTTTCTTCAGATATTATATTCCACATTTTATGATCACGTAAGAACATATAATGGGATCGAGATAAACCATTATACCATTTTAAAATACCTGTGTAGAGTTTATGAAAACTAAAGTTTTAAGGAACTATTTATCCCTTCTCCTTAACTATATGCCCCCTACCTGTCCAGTACTCCGAATTTCTCCGTTCTTCTTTCCGTGAAATCTCCTTGCTTGCTTCACTTGACACTTGCTCTGAAATTTTAAGATTAATTAGCTTAAAAGAAAATGCACCTAAATATCAGAATCAATAAACAATTACTTGCAACCATTAAAGTTTTTTTCTTCTGGAAAAGTTCTTCCATAGCGCTTTAAGCTTGACATAATCGAAAAATCGAGAAATGACTCTTATAGTAGTAATACCATATCATTTTTTATTCTTTCTTTCACCCATATTCAGGAAATATTTTTCTAATATCATTCCTTCATCAACAACGTGATAAAAAACTTAACAAAATACATAGCTCTTTCTCATTACATATAAAAACACTTCGAAAGTTTTCTTGCTTTTACTAATTTTATTTGCAAATGTTTACAAGTTCCGCTTCAAAAAGCTTTCTTGTCTCTACGAATAATATCAAAACAAGACGTAAAGCGAATACATAGATTTATAATACATGCCTTACCAATAGGAGGATTCAAAATTGAGAAGAAAATGAAATAGGAAAAAACAGCTTGATGAATAAGAAATTTGGAGGCTTCGCAAACGCCAGTTTAAATCTAGTAATTAAAGCACGCAAATAAATCTGCACATGCAAAAAACTACGTTTGAAATATCTCAAAGCTATCACCTTTATCAAAGCTATCACCCCCTCGTTCCTCTTCGGAATTTCTTCTAAATGGTGATTCATCATCACTATAGTACTCCGCTAAGTGATTCATTGCACCTGCAACAAATATGTCGTATAATTTACTTAGTGACAACAATTAAATGTATCACGACCTATTATACAATTCCTGCAAAAAGTTTAATTGTAATAAAAAATTGAAAAAAAGTACGTGACTTTTTCAGATAATTTGAGCATATTACACAAAAACGGTGAAAGTGTTACGCAACGTGATAATGATAATCTGATAATCTTGGGTACAAAAGTACAAAGCTAGCAAGGAAATGATCAATTCGAAAGGTGCAGTTATCAAAAATTGTAACTTGACCAATTACTTCATATCATCAGGAATTATTATCGTCACCAGGATGTAAACAGGACTTGTACCATTAGGGAATGATACTCTTTGATAAATACGAGCAACAAAAATCACAATAATAACATATCCAACGTTATATTCCTTGTAACAGACGAAACTAACAGTTATACCTTTATCACTTCAAATAGAAAATCTTAGATTTTACAAAGTACCGAACACCGAATTTTGAAATACTAAACTTCAGATTTGCTGTATTCGATACGAACTGCCTTGGTTTTCATTCGTTAGAGGAAATGGTATTTATACTTTCTTGTTCTGATTTTACTAATTTCCGCGCTATTTTATAATCTATTTCGACTAATAATTTTCTATTATTGGATATTTCATTCATTGTATACCGTAACATACAACGAATCAATTTGTGAAAACGGAAATGGAATTGATTTGAATTGAATTTTTATGATAATTTTTAATATTATCCAGTATTATTAGTGTTATCATCTCTCTTACAGTCATGTTTTATTATTTGTTATGTATAAAGCGATATAAAACAATGATACCATATAAATTTTCTATTTTACTTTTATTTCCTTATAATTTGCAAATACGAAATCCATATAAAGTCTAGAAATTTTTGTTACAATGCTTTTTATCGAAGATTTCATCTTACATGAATCCATTTAATTATTATAATCTAAATGATTTAATTTTATTTTACCTTGCTCTTGGTTGTCAGTGATTGAAATCTAAGATGTTTGATATTTAACTGTAACCGGTGTATTTACTTTTGGCTTAAATTTTCATGGTTCAAATTTACCAACTGATGTTGGTTTTTTTGCTCTGAACGAAAAAACCAATAAAGGATTTCATTGTAGACTTCGTAAAATTGAGTGCAATTGGAAAGTGCCAAGTAATTCTATATTTCAGAAAAGAGGAAAAACAGAATCATTCAGTGAAAGAAGCGAGCAAGTAGCAAGCATAATCGGCGGCGCATAAAGACGATAAAGACATGAGTGCAAAGATTTTGTTTTTCAACGGAGTTTCAGCCACAGAATTTGAAGTTCCACACACTAATTCTAATCATATGATATTGTATAATATTGTACATATGCAATAAAAGATTAAAATCGGCAATAATTTTGACCTACCATGTATCCATGATGTATAAAAATAATTGCTGTTTATGGTCAGTAAAGGTAAGGATTCCGTGTTTTCCCTTTCTTTTTCTACACCTTCTTAACACACAGACAAGAAAACTAGAAGTATAAAATGAAAAATATCGTAAGTATAAGAAAAATTAAAGTGTTGAATCTTAAGCTGTACTGATCAAAATAGCCAGGATTTTTTATACGACATAATTCTTCATACTTTGTTATTAAGCTAGACAGGTGTTTTAAAACTCTTCGTTTTCGTTTTTTTGATGTTATCAGTTTGTTTTGCGAAATGAAAATTTCATGACTCTTATCTCTAGTTAATTTTTGATCGTATTGCAATTTTAATTGCAATTTCTTCTTCAGAAATCATCGTTTTTTACCCAATGAAAATTAATCATATCAATTTCAGAACTTTTTTTTGCACTTTATCTTATTTTACTCGTTCAACAAATAAAATTCTTTGTTAAATATCCACTTCGACACTTTGCTGAGAAGTTATGACATGAGAATGTTTGTCTAGTAATGAATGAGTCACAGAATCATGCTGTTATCATCTTCCGCTTTATTTTCGAACTTGTCATCCTT